CGAAAATATTAATAATAGTACACAACCGCGAAGGTTAATGCGCTCAAATAACTATAGGTACGTGATTCACAATCGGTCCGTCGACGATGACCGGCGAGTATCTACATATAAAGTACCCGTCCCGATAATAATAATAATATAATAATTGTTATTATATAATAATATTTAATATATAGAAAACAATAACGGTACTGACGAATATAATGTCATAATGAAAATAATAATATTATTAGTATATTACATTACAAAAACAATAATTCCATTGAATGACTATATATGTTATTACAACAGAACAGCACAAGGTGATCCATCGAAGTGCCTGCATTCATTATTTCAAATATATTTTAAACTTAAATTTGTAGAGTATAATGACACAAGGGTGTATGTATAATATCCCGCAAAATGTTGGTCAATTACTCCGCCCATCTCACTTCAGTCTGACAGTCTTGAACCTACTAATAAATTATAACTAATATTAACTACTCGTTCAAAATTCCATTCGTATGTGYCTTAAAGTACTCCGTAAATATTCTGATTCAACTTGTCATGAAATGCGTTGTCATTGAAAAGAGTAAAAGCTCAATAAATTATAACGATGAACAATTATTATTATAAAAATGATAATTTTTTTTTTTTTTAATGTTGTTTTACTTGTACATCGAACCAGGCAAAGATAATATTTTGCGAAAAGTAAAAACTTTTGAAATAAGGAATTTAGTTAATATAGATCACCTTGTATAGTCCTAAATTCTATATTATAAGAATCTCGTTATACAACAAAAATAATAAAATAATTTTTTTATTGAATTTGCGTTAGATAGGGTAGGTACATATATTTAATTACATTTTTTCCCTATTCGGTGTGTACAAATTATAAAAATAGTATGAAAACATTGTTGATTATAGTTTTAATATTTATAAATGCAATTGGTTGATTTTAAAGTAATAAATTATTTTATAGCAATGTAGTAAAAGACAGTTAAATTTTCTTTTGAATGTTAATGGGGCTTTGGACCCAATCATGAACTAKACCAGATCATGGAAGTATAGATAGTTCCTACATATTTCGCAATAATAAAGAACTATTTTATCAGCTATGAAMATTTAAAATTATTAAAACAAATGTGCCTTTCCCCCTTCAAAAATGATAATATTATTTATATTATAATAATATGATGATGATAAATTGATAACCAACATCTATACTCAATGCTAACACATTTAAATTATAATTTAGGTCGATATTATTCTAATATGTTACATATTAACAATATTTGCTTACKCAAACCCGCGAGCGGCTCGATAATGTTATTATTATACAAATTCATTATTTATAAAAGTTTGTTGAATTTGTAAACAATCAGTAGATTATGATATTGTTATTTTATTATGCGATTCGTCGCGTAAAACAATATTAGTTATTATTATACGCCTAGTGCGGATTCATTATATAATACGATAAATAGTAATAATAATAATTCAACAATCGTGCGATACATCATCATCGCGTTATATGACGTGCCGCCGCGGACGCCCCCGCCGCTGAAGAATACTCGTCACTGTCTACCAGCCGCGGTGGTTCGACGACGTCACGGCGATGACGGCGTTCGGTAACGCCGCCGTCGACGACGACGGCCGATTACTACAACTCTCGTACGTCACCGAGTTGGACGGCGGCACGTTCGGCACCGTTTACCAGGCGGTGTTGACGGCCGGCGGCGGGACTGCACGAGTGGTGGCCGTCAAGTGCATTCGGTCGCCGGGCGGCGGCCGTCACGAACTGGACGCGCACAGACGGCTCCGGCACCCGAACGTCGTCAGACTGCTGTTCCACTTTTATTCCGGTAACGAAAAATTGTATAGGTRCTGTGGTGATGTGCGCGCGCTCGTCATTTTATCACGCACCGTGTAGGCACAGGCGCGAATAGGCTTWTCTCTTCAAGGTGGACTTGGGATACTCAATAAATAGATTTTCAAAAACACTACTAGAACCTCCTCACCTCCTCACCAAACTAAACGGTCATGAGTGCAAAAAAAAAAACCTTTAGAGGGGGCAACGATTGGGTTTAGTGAGGGCAACACCTCCTCTTGCCCCCCTCTCAATAGCTACRATCCTGTACCTACTATGACTTATCCTATACCTACCTATATTTGTGGTAACATATATGTAATAGCGTCTGTTTGTATATTATTCTCTTACCCCTAATTTTCTATAGAAAAAAAAACAATTCTTATATAGTMCTCCGTATTAATTGCACTCATCGAAAATACTGAACAAAAACAAAATTTTATTATTTATTATCTTTAATTTTTTTTTTTCAATAATCACATTTACAGCGTGTCCGAATTCAAAATTTTAGAAAATATTCAAAACAATGATTCTCACTTGGTACCTATTCAAACATTTTGTAAAATCTTTACGTAAGAATAAATAACTATGACGWCTATAGTTATTATCCATCTATTAGTGACGTTATCGGACCGACGCTTATCGATTAATATAATATAATATAAATATTAAATAACGCATAAACAACGTATATATATATATATATATATGTATAAAATTCCTACATCACCACGAGAAACATTTTAAATCGACCAAAAACAATGCATATATTATGCTTTTTACATAATATAATATGTAACTCTAACTATATATTATTTTTAGTTAGCGCCGTTAAAAAGTATTAATTACAATACGCGCATGACAATAAAAATATAATATTAATAAGTTACTATAAGTTATATCCAACACGAGATTATCGCTTATTCGATTTGGTGCGTTCAATTCGCCTGCTGTTTTTATTCGCGTTTATTAGCTGTATATCCGTACACCGATTTACATCAAAAATGACAGGCACTGGTTTTAAGAACCATTTTCGAAACGAGTTAAATTAAAGATGAAGTCCGGCGTTGTGGAAACAATCGGTTGTTAGTCTCCTGCACTTAATATATTAATATCATACTAATGAGAGTATATGAAACGTACAATCGACCGTCACTCAAAATTCCTCAACACAAACAATATAAAAGCAATACTTTCACGAATCAATAATCACCGTTCAATTCGTTTACAAAATGATCTAAAAAAATATCTAAACTCAAATAGGAATATGTGTTRTGTTGTAATGAAATGTATGTATAKGTATAATATGTAATGTAAATAACATTTTCCTTGACTTTGAAAATACTTACTAAATAATATGTTTGATTTGTGTAATATTGTTAAAATAATTGTATATGATTCACCAAACATGGACCGAGATCATGACACTGAATGTTTGTAAAGGAATTCGTGCAATTTGCAAACTAGCTTATAAGATACTGTTAAAAAATATGTACAGGTAATATAATATCGTGTAACAAAATGCGTACTATAACCTTAAACGGAATGACTGTATGCTAAGTATCAACCCAATTACAGTTAATACAAAAAAAAAATCCAAAACGCTATCCTTACCTGATAACCAACGCTTTTAATATTATTCAAAACAATATTAATAGTTATTAGATTATTCATCCAATATCAACTAACACTATAGAAAAGAATTATATAAAATTGAAAAATTCATTGTTTACATATCCCATCCAACTGAAATAATTATATCCAGTAAAATAGACTACTATAAAAATATATGAACTAATTAAAGAAGAAGTGTTTTCTATAAGATATAACTTACACTTTATATTATATCACAAAACTATTTTTAATTATGAATTATATTAATTGTTACATATTAGTTGTTCATTATATTCATTGAAAACAACACAGATATGATAATCTAAAATACATAAAATATTGTGAANATAATCTAACGTAGAATCGATGAACGAAAAATCGAAATACACATAGCTTAATAAATATGCGTACCCTCGAGGCGTGTTGACTCCGGATTACCAACGCATAAAATACTCATGCAGTGAATTTTGCGTTAAGGAGAATAATTAATTTTACTCTGTTATTTTTATRATATTACAAAATATCATTGCACTAAGTCAGTATTTTATGAATTTTAAAATCGTCTAATATAATACCTATATATGGTTTAAAAACTCAATAAATTATATGTACCTATTGAAAATCAATTATTATTCAATTTATTATTATTCCATTCTTAACGTAAAGTTGCTACGCGTTATCTGTCAGGGAAAAGGGAATAACTACACGACACCAGGGTCTAATTGGTGGGGGGGGGTGCTTAGGGCTGTCACTGTCCCCCGTATTATTAATAATAGAAAATTAGGTATAGTTTATGGTTAAGCCTCCAGTGGGCCGTGGATGTGATGGCGTAGCATTTATGAGGTACACTTGTTAACGGGTTTACCGCGATTTCGCGTTATAATAACTATATAGGTATATAACAGGAGTGGCCACTAACCTTAACTTTGGGAGCCGCAAATTTATAAAGTTAATTCGAGATGAGCCACACATTGTAAAGCAATGTTTATAAAATAAAGATACGATTTTCAATTTTCATTTTAAAATAAATGAAGGAATATTTATTTACTTTTAATTTTAGTCTAAGTTTGGTTCAAGAGGCTCACGAARTTGATTTAAGAGCCGCATGTGGCTCGCGAGCCTCGTTGTGGCCACCCCTGGTATATAATAAACACCTTAGGACCATTATACACAAACTATAGCATCCACAGATCCACCATGAAAAAAACCCTAGATCCGCCATTGCACGACACGTTCGAGATTTTCAAGAAGAAAAATTCGTTTCGTATCGATACGGAGTATGTATAGTTATGGTAGTCTTATCGGAGTTGGTGTCCTAAGGGGGTCGCGATACGTCTCKCTACGTATACCAAACACACACACACTGCACGTCATGTAACTATTTTCGAACGCCCAACGTTCAACCGATACGTAGCGATACATTCCGATAATTTCCTTCTCGGTGAYGGCGCCACAACGTATACAGTTTTATGTGTGCGGTGCAGGGTGGAACGGCATCACAGACGAAGACGGCGGCGCCGGTCGGCTGAACTTGGTAATGGAATTGGCGCCGACCAACTTGGACCGCGCGATCCGGCGACTGGCCGCGGCCGGCCGGACGGCGAGCACGGGTCATGGCAAGCTGTACGCATACCAGATGTTCAGGGGCTTGGGGTACGTGCACGAGACGGCCGGGCTGTGCCATCGAGACGTGAAGCCCAGTAACCTTTTGCTGTACCCGGTCACGGGCGTGCTCAAACTGTGCGACTTCGGCAGCGCCAAGGACCTGTTGGACGGCCGGCCGAACACCCGGTACGCCTGTTCCCGCCGCTACCGAGCGCCAGAGCTGTTGTTCGACCAACCACCGGACGCGCCCGACTACACAGCCGCGGTGGACGTGTGGAGCGCCGGTTGCGTGTACGCCGAACTAATGGCGGGCGCTCCCCTGTTCCCGGGTACCAGCGTAACGCACCAGCGAGCGTTGGTCGCGCGCCCTCCGTCGTTTCCGAGATGGGCCCCGWCCGACGCGATCCGGCTGGTAGCGGCCACGCTCAGGTTCGACCCAGCCGCCAGGCCGACGGCGTCGGAAGCGTGCGATCACGGGTGTTTTGACGCGATCAGACGACCGGGTGGCCATCGTCTGCCACCGCTGTTCGAGTTCGACGACCACGACTATGCCGATGACAATGACAACTATTATGACGACTACGACGGATACACATCATCACGAGTCTGAGGATATTTTGAGGAAAATAACGAGTGTGGGTTATAGACACGTCTGGTTTTTAATAAAAAAAAACTTTAATATTAGGTATCATTTAAGTTTCATATAAATATTATTTTTTCATTTATGGCAAATGACGATGCGTAAACAACTTTTGCGGCTGCACTGCTGCAGAGTTCCCTACTAAAATGTTCTAAGTTAAATAAAATATAATGTATTGTAATTTATTTATTAATTATTCACCAAGTTTTTTTTTTTTTTTAAATAACACAACATCTGAACTTGAATTGAAATTTAATATTTGGGTCAAGGTTGATTTGGTTGTTTCAATCACGTGTATCTGTGGCAAGGATATGCCACTAACAACCCGGGTGGTTACCCATCGAGAAAATAGTGGCACCGACTGGTGCTGTCACCCAGAAAATATCAATGACAGAATAAGCCAGACGCCGACACATACTAAGTCAAAATTATATCAGTGCCTTGGCGTGCAGAAACTTTGTGCCGCAAACACAAAAATTAAATTATTAAATAGTGACTGTAAAAAAGATTTGAATGCTATTTAAATCTAATAAAATTAAATAACAATTAAAAACATATTTAAAACAACTAAATTGGGTAGTTACTTAAAAAGGTGGCCAAGTGGTTAATGCTCTACTATATAATATAAGGCATATGTATGAATTACAGTCTCTGTAATGGATGTGTTAAATTTGATTTCAATGATGGGGTATACGAAAATAAACGATTCAGAGTGAAGACGGTCTATATTACTAAAAGTATATTTCATTATATAATTTCTATTAAATCATTTATTTTACTATTAGTATTATATTAGGTAGTATTAAAATACGTTAACTTGAATATTTGTTATTTGCCAAAAATATTTCATTTCAATATGTCAATGCGTGTAAAAAATATAATGATATTAAAAATATTAAAAGAAAAACTGTGTTTACCTAGCTATAYATATTTATATTTTTTAGAACTTATTATGAGTAACATTCCAATTTCAAATATCCACATATATTATATAGCTTAAAAATGATCAAACTATTTTGAAAACGTTATTATAAACATCAAAAGATTATAGAAACATTCCATATASSTWWKGKTTWWTTKKTTTTTTTTTTWAAATTACATCAACAATTTGGCAAGATTTGCCACAAGTTATGTTGCATAAACATTCCCGTTTTATCTCATTTTTTCTTTTAATTTTCCGGGTGATTAAAAAAATTATTTAATGGAAATTTTCAATTTTAACCTCTGTAATGTATCAACTAGATCCAACTTCTTATCACTAACCATCTTCTAATCGAAACATTTCTCGTAGTATTTTTTTTTTTATTCGTGTATGAAGACACAAATAAAAATTAATAAAAACACGCACATCGACCTTGTAAAAATAAATCACTTAGCTCAGAATCTAAAACTATCATAATGATAAAAGCACCCTTTCAATACAGATACACCAGAGGGCCTGTTCCAAATACACCCTGAATATCGTCGTAATADGTATTATTATAATAAACTCCAGTGAGTAGATATACACATGACACATAATATAATATAACACTTGACTTACCTCAACAAATTGACTGCGACGGTGTGTGATGATAGTATTAAAAGTGTTTGTTGTGCRTGAACGTAGTCTGTGCAGTAAACTAAACGTTTCAGACCGATGTCGGTGAATAAACGGCGTGCAAATGTGCGAAAAGGACCTATTTATATGCGTGCCGTCGGATATGACGTAAACGAGGCATTTTTCGGAGCTATACCGCGATTATTATCGCAAAATATTATTTAATTGAATCGCGTGTTAAGTGCTATTAGTTAACACATATTATTATTATGGCGTTGATTATGTTGTTATAAATATTTTCTAACACAATTCGGTAGTCTATATGATAATAATATTACCATAACTCATAAGTATATTAGGTAAAATTGTTGTCTGTTTTTGACTTAATCGATGACGCTTCAATCGACGAACCCGCCCGAGATATCGCAGAACTAATGCGTCACAATAAGCGACGTCGAGGTCCTCTACATAATATTATAATGTTATTATTGGTCCGAGTGTAATAACTAATAGTATTAACAATAATCATTATTCATTATTGTTGGCCGGATATTGTGCATGATATATTATATTATAAAACGTCGTACATATATATATATATATATCAATATATGGGCTATAATATGGGTAACCTTCAAAGGGCGATCTCCCGCAGGTGTACCGGAGAACACTCTTGACAATAAAACGATAATTCTTAGCACTTTCGATTGATTAATAATGCGTTTAATTTCCGTTTTAAAAACAAAACATATCATTACAACCATAATATAAATTAGCCTAGTTATTTCCTATAACATTTTTCCTATAATATTTGCATTAATATAATACCTAMASTCRTTTATTAATAATTTTAAACAAATAAAAAAAGAAATTCATCAGTTTATTGCTTGATAAACATCTTCTTGATAAGTAGATTATAATAGCATTTAAATATGCTTTAGTGGYTTAGTCCTAGGTGGTGGCGGTACAGGTGGTATAGGTATTTGTAAATGGAATTTCAGATTTCTAAATGTTCTTTGATCGTTTTCTATACAACTCGAGTACTTTAAAACCTACATAACTTTCTAATTACAGTTATAAGTACCTATGATTATTTGAAAATMGTTTAAGCCAAAAAATCATCTAAAACAATAYTCTACATATTATYGCATACACATGAAATTCTATTATAAGTATAAAATACAATGTTAGTAATTTACTTAATAATTGTTATTTATATTGTTCACCGTACTGATTCCATTATTTTATATTCTATTATGTTTACAAAATGTTTAATTAAATTGTTGAGTTTTGTACGATTCGGTATCTCAGTGTGATATACTGATATGTATAAGATGAAATTAAAAATATTAAATGATTGATACAAATATTTTAAAATATAACGTTAGTTAATGGTTATATCTTACTGACATACATTAAACAAATAATTTTATAATTAATTAGATTGGCTAATACGGAAAATAGGCAAGTACTAGTTWAAAAAAAAAACCAGTGAGGAACAATATTAATAGATAATATTATGTAGRTAGGTAGGTATATCTCCTAATAATGATTTAAATGTGCTAATGAGCATYTAACTCTGATATTATGACAGTATAATAATATAATATGTAGGTATTACGTTTGTAGCTAGACGTACGTATATAAGTTTTTTAATACAATAATCATGAACCAATAACAATGATCAATAATAATTTTTCATACGAATACAATATAATGTTTTGTATTTATTGTAATATTCACGACTATTCGTGTTCAAAATGCGATTTTTGAGCCATAATTACCTTATTATACCTAGTTAAATTATAAATTACACATTTTATCGGGTAGATTAACCTATAATTGAGCAATATTAATTGATATGTGTCTAATAAGTATTGAAATGCACTAATAAGCATTTACATTTTTAACCCCGATATGGCATTATGTTATACATACAACCATACATGATACATATTATATGATATAAGATGTCTTTAAATTAAAATGAAATCAAAGTATAATAACTAATAATAGTATAATACAATGATAAACAATAATTTTTCATACGACCAATGTATTATAATATTATGTATTAATTACGATGTTAACGACTCTTGTTGTAAAAAGTGTTTTTTAAGTGATAATTTATTATATATTGTGTTCAAAATCATAATGCTAGTGCAGTTGAATAGGTATAACGTGATTTTTAATTAATAATTAGTAATTACTTTAAAGTAAAATTGTAAATTGAAATATTCTATTCTATTGGGTATAGACTTAGTTTAAAGTCCACACTGTCGATCAATTATCATCGATAATCTATATTTAGATTGTATAATAATGTATATGCTTATTTTGTTTAGAGAGAAATGTATTCGTACTATTATTGCTATATTATTTATCAATTATAATGCTGTATAATAAAAATTATAAGAGATACACACATCTATTCTACTCGTCATTAAAACGTTTCAGCTTATCAAGCTTTATAATTAGACGCCGCGCGCCGTGTAGAAAAAGGAGTCGTCTCTTATTATTGGTTAAATAAAAATAAAATATATCTGATTAACAATAATTAATGAATATCCAGGAGAATCACTTGATATACAATACGATAGACGTCGATGTCTACGGCACGGCGTTCTTGTATTATTATATTATGATCTTTTGTCGTAGAGATTTTTTTCTCAGATTAAATAACTATTATTATTCGATTCAAGGTCGACGTCTTCCAACGGCGGTTATTTTCAAATCATGAATTATGTCCGTTCTTTTGCAGCTAATTTCTCAATGCTAATATTATATATTATATGTTTAACACACGCCGGACCTTGTATACGTCATCGCCGTATTATTATGTTATCGGTCCTCGTAATATTTAAGCATCGCATAGGTAATTACGGCGACACGATCGTTCCAATATTACATATTTTTTTCGTAGACGATGGGCCCCTCGCATCGTTTTCGACGGCCGATCAATAGAATATTGAATATTATCATACGAATGCCTGCTGTGCGAATCTATTTTTATCAGGCATAGGCGTAATAATAACAATAATAATAATAATAATAATAATATGTAAATATCAATATATCATTGCAATCTGGTCATTGTGATCACTGATCATACTATTTGCCTACCTATGTGCGTATACTTACAACGATTCTATAGGGTCATCGTCGGAGTATAACACGCGCACAGAGTTCGGCGGCAACGATTTATTCCGGTTTTTGGTTCACGGTTGCTGAACATTGAGGACAGTACAGAACCTACATTGCGTATCAAAAGTAATAACAGCGATGGTAAAGAGAAAAAATATGTGCATAATGTATTATAATAAATAAAATAGACACAAGGCTGTGTACTTCTATCTGATGACCCTACCTAACGTAACTTTAATAAATAAATGATAATAATAACATWAAAAAAAAAAATTAAAAAAAACTTTAAAAGAACATA